GTTTGGGTGCATTTATTTTTCTGTCACTAATAAAATGAGAATTTTTTTTATGTTCGAGAATTTCCAAGTTATTGAGAAACTCGCTGTTTTATGTGATTTTTTCACCTTGCCTGTAAATGTATACAATTTTGTGTTGTTTGGTGGAAAGTCAGTTGATGAAAATTTTGGAGAGTGCAGTGGTCAAAGGTTCAGTGACATGTTTATTGGTTTATGGTTTATTTGTGATGTTTTAGGGACTACTTTATTACAAGCTCAGAATACATACTTTTGTATCAAGTGTTTGATATGTAAAAGTACATTTTTGTATTGCTATTGGTGTAACTAAAAATGGCGGAATAAGCAAGAAGTTGAACGTGAAAGCTCTCTGGTTATTGGATGTTTTATGTGTTCCTGCGTCAACACATCACAGTATTACAATGCTGGACGTTGTGGTCCTCTCAAATTAAGCTACACATTCATCAACATTCAGGCTTTGTTTGTCATTGAGAGCAGTTACAAGTAATAATATTTTATTGACAGGATACTGACAAAGAAAGGTACAGCAGTATGATATAGGGTTAAAGTTTGCAGGAGAAAATGGCATAATGGAAACTTGGACAAAACAAAAAAGGTTATTTACCCTCGTAGATTAATTTAAATTTTGTTTTTTATTTTATTTTATATAGACTGGGCATATTGTGTTTGGTGTGGAAGTTGCTGCCTTGAACATAAACATTTTTCTATGTTCTTTGCTAACACGATATTAATTAATTAAGAAATGTTACATCTGAACTCATGATTGCGGAGAATTTGTTAGTTTTCGTCAAAACAGTAAAATTTATAATTAATTCTGCTGCATTGATAAAAAGTAAATTTCTTTGATGTTTGTATATTTACATGACATTACAAAGTGTGTCTTGTCTTCAATTCCCATTGCATTACATAAGTCACACATTCTTTTGTCAGTTTTTCGGTTTTGTATTTCTGCCCATTTTGATTTTGAGACAGTGATTGCCGAGTCTGAATTTACTCAATTGTTTTGTCAATTATTTTGATGTTCTCGATATCAACCAGGTTTTTGTTATTATTTTTTCAGTGTTAAATAACCAACTCTTCTAAATTACACCGTCAATGTCAAACAGATAGTATGACTACATGTATATGTTAACTGATAAAAAAAAACACAGTATATATAAATTTCTTACTCTTGCTCCATTTCACCCGAAGAATCCAAGAACTGGTTCTGTAAAAAAAAAAGTGAAGAGTTTTGAATAAATCTCTAAACAGCATTGCAAAGTTATGATTGATTTCACATATGGTGAAGAACAACAAGTAACTGATTTTCTCCACTATTAGCACTGTATTTTCTCTATTAGTAGAGCATGTGGTTACGTAAATGACAGATATGTGTCTAAGATCAAAATAAGTCATATTTGAATGATCTAGTATGCAATAATTGAGATTGTTTGGTTGTATGCGCTTCTAATAGAGAAAATATGACAATCCCAGTTAGCACCCATGAACCTACATCTATACCTTAATACAGTCCATCATTCTAAAATTCCCCCTTATGAATCACACTAAGTTAGATGCTGAAAACTTAATCAAAACTGAAATCATGAAAATATTTGTTCATGTTCAGCTATTCACAAGACATCTCTAACAGTGTTATTATGCATAATACTGGACATGTCAAGCAAAACTTGACACGTCACTCTTCTCAAGAAACAACACTCCTCATAAAGTATAATAAATGTAGATACATGTATAATAATAAAGTTGACACATATCAGTGCTGATCTTATTAGTTTTATTCATTTATTTGTTGCAACCCTTTCAAATTAGGGGCAGAAAAAGTAAAATTAATTACAAAAAGTTTGTTAACAAATCATACACATAGGATTTTTTTAGTTCAGCTGTATCAATGAGGAATTGCATAATTGCTAGATATCTGTTTTCCTACATAGTTCAGCACTGTAGCCCAGGCTAGTGTGCCCAAAGAGATAAATTAGCAGTTCATTGCCCTGGGAAATATCTTTCTATATTCAATATTACTCAGTAAGGAGTGTTTGATTTTGTTCATCATAACTTCCCTCTGGCTGGAGATAAAATGCTCTATTGTTTCAATACCATTTCCACAACAGGGACATGTACAATCTTCTACATCTGAGCATTTTCTTTTTTTTTTTGTATGCCAGATCTAGGGTACATGATTTTGCTTTAAACTTAAGCTACGCCCATTTAAGACCATCAAACAATTCCAAACACTAGAAGTTTTATGCAGTTTATTTGATGGAAGTGTTCGTTTTTGAAATTAAATTGTACGCCCATGATAACTTATTTTATTCTATTCAAGTGTAGCAGACTCTATGATGCAGAGTCACTCGTATCTCGTGCAACATTTTGCTCTAAATGTGTTTGAAAC